AAGAATTGACAGTTTAAAGATGTTGAGTTTCCCGAACAAATTCCCACATATTGTTTTTTACAAGTATGAGTGCATGTGTTTGGCTATATGGCCTATATCCTCTCTGACACCATGCTGACTCCACAAAGTATCTTGAGTGAAAATTTTAGTTTTCTAAGACTTTCTGCCTCATTGGCAACTTTTCCATGAGAAAAGTCCTATCAGTTCAGGAAGATGAAAAAATTCTGGAGATGGGTGGTAGTGATGGTTGTACAACAATGCAAATGTACCTAATGCCACTCAACTGTACACTTAAAAATGGCTAAAATGGTAAATTTTTCAACATGTATATTTCACTATGACAAAAATGTAAAAAGTAAAAAAAAATCCATGTCATACATTTTCATTTCTTCAAGTATTCTTTAAGGAAACTTGGTGTGTTTAAATGTTTCTTTTTGTAGTTTTTTAGATTTATTTTTAAGTTTACTCTTATGCACTTTAAATAATTGATTCCATAAATAAGAGGTCTTCATTAAATTTTTATATAGTTATTTTTAATATATGAATGTTATTATATTTTCTTAGCTCTTTACTGATTTTTGTATTTGAAGTTTTCCAGACAGTTTTGAATTTTCAACATACAATATCATACCATCAATCAGAGAGATAAATTTACATCTTTCTTTCACATTTTTATGTCTTTTTTTATTTTTGAGGAAGATTAGCCCTGAGCTAACATTCACCATTGATCCTCCTCTTTTTTCTGAGGAAGACTGGCCATTAGCTAACATCCATGCCCATCTTCCTCTACTTTATATGTGAGATGCCTGCCACAGCGTGACTTCACAAGTGGTGCGTGGGTCCGCACCTGGGATCCTAACCAGAGAACCTCAGGCCGCCCAAGCACAACATGCGAACACAACGGCTGTGCCACTGGGCTAGCCCACATATATGTCTCATTTTTTATTTTGTATGCAACTGTATTTATTATCAAAATGTTAGCTGTCAACAAAGAGAGTGATCTACTTGATTTTTCCTGATAACAAGAGATGATCATATGATTACTTTCTTTTGACTTATTAAAAGGATAAAAATACACATTCTTATTCTGATTTTTACTATTTTTTTTTTTTTTACTTTTTGGTGTCATTTTTCATAAATAAAGTTTATCAGTTGCATGTGTGTGTACTACCTTTGTTATACTTTTGTATCAATTATGTGTCACACAATGGAATATTATTCAGCAGTAAAAAAGCAGGGAATCCTGCCATTTGTGATAACTTGGATGATCCTTCAGGCATTATGCCAACTAAAATAAGTTACAGAGAAAGAGAAATACTGTATGAACTCATTCATATGTGTAATCTAAAATAAACAAACTCATAGAAACAGAGGGCAGAGGTTTCCAGGGGTTGGGGGTGGGGGGTGGGGGAAATGGATGAAGGTGGTCAAAGGGTTTAAACTTCCAGTGGTAAGATGAATGAGTTCTGGGAATGTAATGGGCGGCATGGTGACTTTAGTTAACAATACCGTATTGTATATTTGAAAGTCACTAAGAGAGTAGATTTAAAATTTCTCACCACACACACACACAAATGTAAGGATTAACTGATGGATATCTAAACTAAATGTGGTGATCATTTTGCAATATATACATAAATCATTACATTTTAAATTTAAACTTACAGAATGTTATATGTCAATTATATCTCAGTAAAGCAGGGAAAAAAAAGAAATAAATTAATGTAAGTGGCCCTTCTTTCCATCTCTAATTTCTGAATTGCGTAAAGTAGCACTGAAATTATCTGTTCTCTGAAGGTTTTATGAAAATCCCTATTTTTTAGATAAAAATGCATAATGTGAAATAATTTATTAATTATATGTTAAATGGTAGGTTACATTTTAAATATACTTTGTAGCCAATATTTGATGGATTATATATGCCCTGAAAATGACCAATTTCAGATTTTGCCATTAATTGACATCTGAATAACATTTTTTCTAATGTTTCTTTAATAGAATCTCTCTTTTTGATGACTTCCTCCTATTAGGGGGGTGTGGGTGATTGTTTATGTGCTTTTTCTTTCTATATTTTCCTCATTTCCTTAAATTATATAGTTATCTATTTTATAAATTGTTTTCAAAAAATAAAATCAGCTTTAATATTTAATCTTTTTATTATTTAATTTCTACTTTCACCCTATTTACTTTCTTTAGTTATACGTTTTGTTGATGTGTGCATTTAAAAAAAGTATAGACATGTATAAAATAAATATGTATACACATACATATATATAGATAATATTTATAACTTATGCATCTATATTACCTATAAAATAATCATATTGATCATGAATTTAGTGTTTTTTTTGGATATATGAAGATGCTTGTATGATTATTTCTCTGGATATATTAAGATAAAATATTTTCTCTTGTTCTATTATCCTTTTTTTCCTGGAATATAACATAGTCCTTCCTGATGTCTTATTCTTCTACTACAGTGTTATGTTTTGTTTGTTAACATTTCATTTGCAATTTTTGGAATCAATACTCATAAATAAGATTGAGATATAGTTATCTTTGTAGTGTACTGTATTGGTAACATTTTGATACCAATGTTATGTGTCATTCATAAGGGCCCCTCTTCTGTTCTCTCAAATGGTTTATACAGCATTGTAATATAGTTAAGGTTTTAGTAAATTACTAGGTAAATATCTTTTCTTGCTCTTCTCTTTTTTTGGGACAGCAGAGTAAGTACATTCATGACAACTTTAATTTTTCATCAGTAACTGGTTTGATTTACTTTGTCTTCTGGATCGATGTTTGGAAAATTATGTTTATTTTGTACATTTTAAATCTATTTCACTTTTCCAACTGCATTTGCCTCAGTATAACAAGGATTTTTCTCCCATTTCTCTAGTGTCCTTTTATCTTTGATTACTTCCTATTTATTGTTTCCTATTTTGTTTAATTGCACTTTCTTCTTTATTTTTGATTAACCGTTTATATGTTTATTTTTTCAAAGCAGCAGCGTTTATCTTTCAATTTTCTAATCCACTGATTTTTGCTTTAATCTTCCTTAATTCTATCTGCTGTGTGTGTGTTGTAGTTTCTTTAAAATTTACAGATTTTGTTACCTATTTAATTATGCAATTTGTCTTTCTAGACAATGTATATTAGTATTTAAAATTAGTTTTACTCTGAGCATAGATTTGGCCCTATCCTATAGATTATGGTAAGTATAATTTTCCATTAATCAAGAAATATTAATTTAGTCTTTGCCATAATGCTAGGTCATTTTCCAAACATCCCTTTTCCCATCTGTACCCCAACTCCACGTCACACCAAGGTTTTAGTTTAGCATCTGCTGTGGAAACAGTACCACATCTCTGAGATATTTTACAAAAGTGCAAAATGGAAGAGCACATGGGCATTGATTATGGAATGAGACTGTTTCCCTTTAACTCATTGAAATTAAGTAAATGGATTTAGTAACACGTAAGACAAAGTGGTTTCCACATCGTAGAGAGGACAGAGTAACAAGTAAACTTTTAGCGTATTGCTAAGTCTGTACATCCCTCAAATTTAGACACCAGGAGCTCAAGCAAATCAGACTTGCTTCACCCAGGCATTTTTCCTTTGGGTAGAATGATACCTTTTGTACTGACTCCCAGGCTAAGTCTTGAGTCCTTTAAGAAGGGGTCAGCACACACTGACTCATTCACAGAACAAACTTTTGTTTGCAAGTGTTCCTTTGTTCCTGACTACAACAGGGATAGCCCAGCTGTCCTCATGGGAAGGCCTCTGGAAGACTTTGTCCAGCCTTCATGGCTGTGACATCCCTGTTATTTGATTCTTTCTGAATGATCTGAGGTGGGAATAGGGAATCCCATTTTTTTTAAACATCATCTTATTTCTTATTTTCCTCATGTAGGCATCCAAATAATACATCTTTTTTGTTATTTACTATATTTTCAGCAATTGAATAGCACACTTTTAACTGGATGACTTTTGCTGAAAAAATTACTTGGTCTTTTTGAAATTATGAAAATAAAGGTAATGAGCTCCCTTCCTATGAAAGTAATCATAAAATAATAATGTTACCTAAACACAAGTTGCAAAGATTCCCAATGAATAAAAATTGGTGGAGTATTAATTCTGGGCCAGCTCTTCTCAGATCCACTAACACACACTAATCTCTTTTTTTATACATGCCACTTTAAAAATACCACCTGTGTTGCAAGCTATTTGTCCAGCTTAAATTTGATCCTCACAAGAACCCTACAAAATAGGTGGTGTTATACCCATTTCTCATATAAAGAAACTGAGGAGTAGAAAATTTAAGTGACTTGCTCCAGACTGCACAGGCTGGTAAAAGGCAGAGTTAGGATTCTAATCACCCTTTGTCTGTCGCCCAAACCATTTTATCTTCTCCTAAGCCTGGCCCTACTATAGCTCCTGAACTTCATGATGATGGTTTGGGTAAAGATATTATCTGAATAAAAATGAGAGGGGCCAGCCCGGTGGTTCAGTGATTAAGTGTGCACGTTCTGTTTTGGCGGCCCAGGGTTCACCTCGGATCCTGGGTGTGGACATGGCACCACTTGGCAAAAAGCCATGCTGTGGTAGGCATCCCACGTATAAAGTGGAGGAAGATGGGCACGGATGTTAGCTCAGGGCCAGTCTTCCTCAGCAAAAAGAGGAGGATTGGCAGTAGTTAGCTCAGGGCTAATCTTACCCCCCCCCCAAAAAAAGTGATTATGTCACAATGTTAGTGTATATTAGGACATAGTTTTCAAAGTGTCCCATGCTTGGCTTAAAAACCCCTCCTTGACAGCTAAGCCACTACTCAGAGCTCTTTTCTTTTTTTTTTTTTTTCTTTTGAGGAAGATTAACCCTGAGCTAACATCTGCTGCCAATCCTCCTCTTTTTGCTGAGGAAGACTGGCCCTGAGCTCACATCTGTGCCTATATTCCTTTACTTTATAGTGGGATGCCTATCACAGCATGGCTTGCCAAGCGGTGCCGTGTCCACACCAGAGATCCGAACCAGCGAACCCCAGGCCACCAAAGCAGAAGGTGCCCAATTAACTGCTCCGCCACTGGATGGCCCCAGAGCTTATCTTCTGAGCCTTTGGTATCAGTACCGTCTTCTGGAGTGCCTCATCCGGTCCTGTTCTTTGGTTGGTTGGTCATCAAAGCCCTATTTCCCCTGCACGACTAGGGCAGCCTTGGAGGTGGGAGAATGTTTGTATTTCATTTTGAATCACTCACCCTACATGCCAGTAATACCCAGCCATCTATGGGCTCCAATTGGTGAATTCTTTGAATAAGAGAAAGCAAGAGGGAAGGAATATGGTAAAGAATCTAGTGAAACAGGCTGAGATAGTTACCCATAGAATCAGGAATCATATCAGAAGGTAGGGAGTGTAAAATATAGATGGCATATCCTTAGCAGTGGGCTAAGAAATACTGAGTCTGGCACAGCTAAAGCCCCAAGCCTCCCACATTTAGTAGGAGCTTATTTGTGCCCATTTTGTCCCACTTAGCTGAACCTAAAGATTTCACATGTGCTTCCAGTAGCTATATTCAGCTGGTCCACCCACTCCTGGTCACATATGTGGGTGAAGAGGCAGCATAGTGCCTGTGCTCTGGAAATACACTACCTGAGTTCCATTCACTCTTCCACTAGTTTATACATATGGGTCATAGCTACATGGGCAGGTAATTTAATCTCTCTACCTTATTTACCTCATTGGGATAATGAGAAAAATCATACCACATACCTCATAAGGTGGTTCTGAGAATTAAATTGGTGCTTTGGAGAGTGCTTAGTAAATGGTCTAAAACCTGTGAATGTGCCCTGTCTTTGTTGGATAGTCAGGCCAGTCTGAATTTCCCGGGACTCCGGCCCCCCACAATATTTTCAGCTATCTTAGCCAAGAGCATTCTGCAGTTGATGCATACAGCATTTTATACTGATCAATAAGGTAGAATGTTAAAATTTTGCTGTTCAACATACAGTCTTTCTTTCTTTGCTTCTTCAGTTACTGAAAAGATGTATTAAAATTGTCCACTAAGATTTTCTATTTTTCTACTCTCAATTCTGTGTGTATCTGATGCTATGTTATTAAATGAACACAAAATTGGAATAGTTTTCTTCCCAGTAAATTATAGTTTGTTTATATACCATCCTTATTTATGTTCAGTAATGTGTTTTTCTTTAATATGAACTTTGCCTATGACAAAAGGTCAAAGCACCTGTTTGATTTTTTCATCTTCTTATTTTTAATGTTTCTGTATTCTTATATTGTACATGTGTATGTTAAAGAGCATACAGTTTCATTTTAATTTTAATCAGGTCTGATAATGTTTAGCTTTTAGTTTTTAAACACTTTTCATTTAATTATGGTGTATTTGTGTTATAAACTTTACATATTACTATGATATTTAGTTTTATTCCTTTCTATATTCCACTTTAAATTTTTCCATTGTTGCATTCAGACTGGTTTCAATATTTTTATTATTTCGTTTTCTCTTTTATAATCTTGTCATTTATACATTGAAATTTTTGTCAAAATCCTTTGTTTGGAATGTCTATAGATAATAAAAAATATTGGATACAAAGAACTGTGTGTCTGAGTCCAGGATTGTACTGTTATAAGAAATAATAAGATGGTGCTAAAATGCACAGGAACACACACTTCTGTATTTATAATAGCAGAGTGAGCTATTAATGCCATCATAGGAATTACCAATATCATACTTTGTAAGTCGTTTAAGATCTGTGTCTGCCACATTTGACCACAGCCACTTGAATAGCTGTTTTCATTAGATGCTAAACACTGAAGCCTGTGAAAGGGACAGAAAGATTATTCACACACCTCACACACACACAACAGTGAGTCCTACTAGCATCTGACCTTCAGCTTTCAGCTCTGTATTTACTTTATTACATAAACATTATATCATAGGATGGTGTATATCTTTTATATATATATTTTCAAATACATAACTTTTATACACGTTTATATGCATCTCTCTCTTTATATATATAATTCTTAAATATATGCTTCCAAATATAAATAATTTCACATCAAGCTAAACAGGATAAAAACATGTAAACATATGCACCTGGTTCTGGTCAAGCAAAACACAAAACCACAAGGTAACCACAAGTTAAAGAGTGCACTTTAAGGGGAATGAGGGAAGGAACAACATGTAAACAACAAGAGATGAGCAGCTGCACCACAAGGCCCCGCCAGGGTCCATTTCTTAAGGCTGTAGTAGCAAAAAGCTCCTTGTTCAGTTAAGACTTCTCCCTTCACCCTGTCACATTTATTCTTGAGGGACTTCAAAATGAGTGTGGAAATTCTGTAAACACTAGACTAGAACTGAGTCAATCCTGTTGAAAACAGAGATGACAAAATAAACCATAAACTGACAGTAATATTAATTTCACCAAACAATAACATTAAGGACTTTCTATTACTTTTTAACACAGTGAGACACCATAATCGTAGCAGGAAACAAATGAGGATGGGCAAGAAAACAGTGATGGATGCTCAATGGAAATGACTTCAACGGCTCCTGTAAGTGACAGATGTGTCTATAAACAGAAAACAGGCAATAGCGGATGACAGAGCCTCAGCACACTAGACCACATGCCACAGCATAATGCTACAGACTCAAATTTAAATATTTTTTCTAGCTCATAATGAAGCAAGTCCCACTGGTCCTCCAAGAAGGGGAGCTCATTGTCTCCCACTGAAAGAAAACACTTAAACAACAGATTGGCCAGCCGAAGCATGACAAGCTCTTTTTTACAGCGTTTAAAGGGCATGTTGCCCTCTCCCACCTGCACAGGCTCCTCTCCCAGGCCCTCAGGGTCTGCATGCTTGTAAAAGCAGTTCTCTCCAAATGGGCAAAAACCCCCACTTTGAGCAAAATACCTGCAGGTCTTGTTGCTCATTGCCTCCTTGTACTGCTGAATAAGTTTCTGCTTCTCTTCTTCTTCCTCCACCCAGAACTCACTGGGTATGACAAAGTTGGAGGTGACCCTGCACTGTGGGCAGGATTTGACCAGCCTGCTCCCAAAGTGTCTGGCACTCCTCCACCTGCGGATACACCTAAGACAGTAGGCATGGTTGCAGTTGGAGAGGATGCCAAAGCGGCGGTCACTGGGGTTGACTCTGTCATAGACAACCTCCATGCAGATGCCACACACTTTGTCCATACTGCGCTGCACAGCAAACGAGAGTTCCATATCCTTCTCATGTGCTTCAACACAGGCCCTTATGTGCTCTTCCCTCTGGACAGCATCCACCGGGTGTAAGACCTGCAGCCCACACATATCGCATATCTCTCCATGTTGATACATACAGCTCTCCCCACGAAAGCACCGCCCCATGGCAGCATCGCGGCAAAGCTGCTCCCCGACGCCCACAGCAATCTGCTCCCTCGCAGTCACTAGGCTCTGCAGATGAGCCTCGGGAACAGTAAAGGTGCTGCGGCCCCAGTAGGGTTGCCCGGGAACAAACTCAACGGCATCTGCCCAGCCTTCTGCACCTGCTCCTCCTGCAGCTTCCAGGCCTACATTGTATCTGGCCGCTTCAAAGAAACCCCTTTCAGCAGCTGAGCCAATCACAGGCAAGGAGCGTGAGGACGCAGCAGGGGGGGCTTCCGCTACTTCCTGAGGCAGGGTCTCAACGTGCGCAGCCGTACTGGCACCTCGGTCTGTAGAGGCCTGAGGCGATGAACTGCGGCTCTCCCTGGCCATCTGCCGGCCTGAGAGGTCGTGGGAGTAGCGACAGTTCTCCCCCTCCTTGCACATCCCATGCAGATAATACCTGCAGGTGATTTGCTTTGTCCAGCTGCCGGTGCTCCGGCTAGGCAGCCAGCTGGGCCCAGCCCCTCCCCCTGAGGCCTGGGCAGGCCTCCGACGTGACGTTCGGAGGAGGGCTGGGCTTGGAGCCACAGGCTGCCGGGAGGCCGGGCGCACGGGGACACTGGGCCCAGCTGCACCCTCCCCTGCTGCCACGGCACCCACAGGGGCCCTGGCTGCCCCAGAGGGTTCAGAGGGAGCTGCAGGCTCTTCCATGGCAGCTTCTTCTGCCCCAGATGGTACCGGAACTTCTCCGGTGGCTCTTCCTTTCAGGCATGAGGCCCGGAGAGCACTAGCTGCCCGGGGTTCATCTTTGGGAAGTGTGCATCAATTTTCCTTCCCGTTGCTGTCTGCTTCCTGTGACTATGTGTTCCTACTTCCTATTCTGGGCAGGCGCAGCGGACACTTCCTGTGGGGACAATATCAGTCCTCTACGGTGTCCGTACAGTGTGTACGTTCCGTACGGCTGCGATGGGTGTCTGACCGGAAGCCTTCTTTGTTCATATCGGGCGGGGATGCTCAGCCCCGCGTCTCCAGCCTCTGCCCTGCACCGCTGCACGCCGGCTGGTCCCTCTTCCCCATGTCCGCCGTCTCCGCTGGAGGACGTAATCACATTCTTTGAGGTTTTAATTTAATCTCTTCTAGTGTTCGTTCAAACACATTTTATTTGATTTCTTTTTCACATATGTCTATTTTGAAAAATGATAACCGTTGCCTCCACAAACCGTGATTAAAAATTCATCTTGTATTTTATACACGTGAATTTTATAAAGTATTTTTCTGTCAGTCTATTTTGTCTGTGTGGATCAAGTGGTTCGCGTTTTTTCTTTTTTTTGTCTCATGACTGTCACTTGTGGAAGCTTTTTCGTTTTGTTTTCTCGACAATGCGTGATTTTTTTCTGGTCTTTGTTTTCTGGAAATTCTTATGGGCTTACATTGGAAACCTTTTTCGTAAGCAAGGTTTTAGTGGGAACGCTTCTGATCTGAGGCAGCTTTAGCACCTTTCAGAGGTTTTAGTTTATTGTAATTTCTACCTCTCCCCTCCTGTGCAGAAGCCGCAGACTTTGTCCAGTCCTAATGCTGGCTTAATAAGCCACTGTCCCCTGTGTGACCCTGGCTTTTATTTTCTCTTGCTGGTTTAACTCATACTGGCCCTTTGTTTCCCTTTCTTTCTTTCTTTCTTTAATCCAGCGTCATACGGAATTGTGGCAGGCCAGCCTTTCATAACATATTCTATACAATTCTGTTCACAAATGGTGCTTTTTAATCTCTACGTGTGAGAGCTCTTTGTTTTGCAGATAGATGTTATTAGATTAGTAAAAAAAAAAAAAATTATAGTCCTACTTTGCTAAGGGTACTAACCGTGAATGTATACTGAATTTTCTCATGTAGTTGTCTGCATTTTTTGAGAGATGATCATTTTTTTCTTTTATTCTCTTAATGTGATTATTTGCACTGATAGATTTCCAAAGATTTAACTTACCATTTTTTCCTAAGAATATATCTTTCTGTGTTATGCTGTATCATCATTTTATATGTTACTGAATTTTGTTTGCTAAAATGAGTTTCTTAGAGTGAATTTCATAGCCTAAATTTATATTTTAAAGTGGGAGAAGGTCTGAATGTAGCACAGAAATCAGATTGAAGCAAATAATAAAGGCAATAAATTATTAAAGAAAAACAAGCATGAAGTAAAGGGAATAAATCAAACAAAACCCTTTGAAATAATTTATGAAACTGATAAATTGTGGTGCAGTTTATCAAGAAAACATGAAGAAGGCTCAAATAATCAAGATCAGAAATTTAAAAAGTGGTATAACTACGCTAATAACAGACATTAAAAATCATGAGAGGATGCTGGTAAAAAGGCCATTAAATTTGAAAAATTATGTGAAATGGTCATATTTCTGGAAACATGTCTATTAATAAAAATGACAGGAGCAGAAATAGGAAACATAAATATTGATATGTTAGATAAATTAAATCTGTAATTAAAAATAATTCCCTAAATTAAAGCTTTGGAAGCTTTCCCTTTGAAATAAATAAAAAGGCAAAAAGATCTATATTTATTGTTGCAAGTCCTAGACAGTACAATGAGGCAAACAAAGAAATAAAAGAAGTTAGAATTGGAAAAGAACTATTAATGGAAGACGGCAGAAAATTGAGGATAATTTACTGATAAACCATTAGATTTCATAAGTGCATTTGGCAAGGACTTTGGAGAGGACTGCAATATACAAAATCAGTTTATATACATATATATATATGTATATATAATCAATGTCACTTAAACGTTTGAAATTCATAACATTTATAACATTAATAGTTAACTATGCTAGGAATTAAACTAATTAAACTTTTAAAAATTAAAATCATATTTACTTAGGAAGACGTATACAAATTGAGGAATACTGTGATCAAGCAGTGGGAGGCTCAAAATTTTCAAAAGGTTGTCTTTTCCTGGCTTGATAATCATTTGAGAATGTTGCTGCTTATCCACCAGGAATCTAGGATATCTTGGTGATTTTGAATTCTCCTCCATTTTATACTTATTGAGCTTTGCACTAAGGATGCCACTTTCTCCAGAGTCTGACTCAACTCTTATATACTGGGCTCTTCTCAGATTCACAAATATAAGAATCTTGAATATAAGACTATTATTTGTTTAATAGTAATGTTTTCCCAGCACTGTGTCTAAATTATGTTTGATCTAGTTTTTATAGAACAGCATTGTCCAATAGGATGTTCTATGATGATTTTATATTTGTGCTGTGCAGCACAGTAGCCACTAGTCCCATATAGCTCTCGAGCAATTGAAATGTGGCTAGAGTGACTTATGAATTGAATTTATATTTCAAAATTAATTTAAATAGCCATATGTGGCTAGTAACTATTGTGTTAGACAGTGAAGATGTATATGGTATTTGATCATTTCATCTTCTCAAACAGGAGGAAAGGGAGAAGATTTCCTAACTTGTCCAAGGCTATGTTGCTGCCATGGTGCAGTGTTTGCCATCAAATCCACACCTGCGTGACCCCCATCCTGTTCATGTCCTGCCATCTCCTAGTGCACTATATCTTAGAGTTTTACAGTGGTGATATTTCATATACACTGTTAGAAACTAAGATTGTACCTCATGATTTTAAATATCATATGAAATTCAATAACTTGAAATCTTGGGTAGTGCATCTTGAGGGAAATGAGCAAATATTTCCGATCCCAGTAAAATGTCTATTCTCAGACAATTTTGCCTGACTTCTATAGTTCGTATTCTTGTCCTGTTTTTTTGTTTGTTTGTTTTTAATTTTTTGAGCACTGATGTTTTCACACAGTCTCTGAGAAGACACTCTAATCACTTCTTCAGTTACTTGGCTTAGCTGAGCGCTCTTTTCCAAAAAACTTTAGGGCTGAGACCTGGCTGAGGCCAACTTATACACACAAGCCAGTGCGGGATCTCCTGGCTGGTCAGCATTTGGGTGTCCAAGTGGAATGAATCAAAGCAACACTCTACCTGAGCAGGCTGCAGTAAGCACTCAGGTCATTGGGTGCAGAGCAATAAGGGGAGAGGTGGTTTACACCACTGCAGGGCTGATGCACAGTCCAGGCAGCGTAACAAAAGCCTGAAAGATAGGAGCCGAGTTCAGAAGTGGAGGGTAGGATGGGTAGAAAAGAGCTGGGAGGCGCCACAGTCTTTTATTCCAAACAGCTCAGGCCTGCTGTGCCCAGTCCCAAGTGGCTGATCTGTCCGTATTTAAAGGATACACAATTGTTTCAAAGAAGTTGCCTCCCCCACACACATCTGCTTCAGCTCCAACATTTAGGGATGACTGGTGTGTGTGGGGGTATTAAAAGCAAGCCTCTAGAATCAGGCATCAAGGGTTCAAATCTGGACTTTATCTTTTCCAGCTGAGAATTAACCTTGGGCAAATGAATCTTCTTTTACCTCATCTGGTAAATGATGAGAATAATACTACTAATAATAACAGTAACAATAGTGATTAGCTCACAGGTTTGCTGTGAGTGTTAGGAGATGGAATTCTTATAAAATGACTGGAACAGTGCCTCTTACAAGACACAGTCTTTGAGAGCTCCATAAATGTCTTATGTAGCTTAGAGTCACCCAAATCATCCTATGACCAAAGTCTCTAGGCACAGTCTCCGTTTTATGCTTCTGGATACAGCAGCAATATGTCTATAGGATCCCTGGAAGTTCCTGCACATAAGAGGCAGTGAAAGAATACTTATTTTCTCATACTGATGGAAAAACTGATTTTTATTTTTAAATTTACAGAAACGGTTTTCTCCAACTCTAGTTCAGAAGTCCAAACTCACCAAATTTTATGCATTAATTATGTGCAGTTTTTGTTTATTAATTATACCTCAATAAAGCTGGAAAATAAGTTGAGCTTTAAAATAAGGTAAAATTAAATATCTTATTAAAAAGAAGTTGTAGGTACCTTTATGCAGTATTTTTTGTCCCCTCATCACTTGTAATGGCCATGGGCTTCTTCATGGGACAGGACTCCTTTAGCTCATCCTGGGAGAAGGTGCATTATTCTGAGGAATACACATCTGGTCACCATGAGTGAACAACTAGATAACAAAAAAGTTAATTAAGAATGCCTTTCTAAATGCATATTTCAATAGAGGTGTAATAAGGGTATAAATTATCCTAAAGCCATTCAAATATAGTATCATAAAAATTGCTCTGATTATAAAAAATAACACAATTATCTATATGTAATTAAACACTGAAAATTTCAAGAAATATTCTGGATGCTTTTCTACAAGTGTCAAGAATTTAGCTACTTTATGTACTTTCATGCAGTTAGCAAAATATTCATATTGATATTCATATTGATGTATGTTACAAATGTAAAACATACTTAAATTCCAAATTCTAGCCAGATTAAATAGCTTGTATAAGGCTAATATTTCCATCCAGAACAATGACAAAAATTGGATAAATACATGAAATAAATGCTTGAAGGACTTAGAAAACAGCTAATGGGGTGAGAGATCAAGGGGCAAAACCCAAGAGAGAACGTTAAATAATCTAAATAACTTATGAGTTTTAGAAGAAATCACAAGGAAAATGAGAAAATAGTTTCAATTGAATGACATATTAAAACATTTAGGATGCACCTACAACTATGCTTAAAGGCAAATTTTATAGCCTTAAATACATTCATAACGAAGGAAGAAGCTTCATTTCCAGGAGATAGAAAAAACAAAGATGAAAAGAAGACAGAGATGGGGTGAGAATGTCACATAATAATGTTGAACTCCTATTGTCTCTTCCCTCTTTAGGAAGATGACATAGATGCTGTGCCATGTGCACACTCAGACC